ATTCCAAAAGCAACGCAGTGTTGAAAATTTTCACCAAACACAACTCTCCTTGGCCTATTGGTTGATAGCTTAGGCTTCCAACTAAGAGGTCCAAGGTTCGAGTCTTTGTGTATGCATTGTGTGTGTGAGTTTGCCTTAATTGGCCTAAATGTCCCAAAAAAAAAATTTTTTTTTTGGAACTGATCCTCTGCAATCATAGCAATTTCCGTTTACTTTGCTCATTTTCCTCATTCGCTTATCTTATTCGTTCATTCTGCTTTGAACGGTTGAGATCAGATCCAGCAAAACCATATTAACTGTTACTAAACCTTTACTGATAAACTGATAAAGATTCTATCCAACGGCTTAAAGTTGAATGGACGGACGATATGACGTTGACTTTGTCTTTCCAAAGTTGTTATTGGATGGGATCATGACGACGCGGCGGCGTTTCGAAGCCTGCTTTATTTATATTTAAATAGAGGTCTATTCAAAGCTTCGTTGACAATTCTTCTCTTCAATCTCTCGGTTCAAAACCCTAATTCCATTTCTTCCTCTTCCCGATCTTCATTCTCTTTTTGATGGGCTAATAACTTTCCGTCGATCGGTAAAGGAATTCGTTCCTTGCTGCAATTTCGTTTCCGTTGGTTTTCGCGGATCGTCTACCATGCCTTCGATGTTCAGTGATTTCTTTCTCGTCATTGTTATCGCTGCTTCCCCTTCTGGTTCTTGTTCCCATCGTCTGAAAAAGCTTAAGAAATGGAATCGTCTTTGTAGTAGTCTTAGCTAACATTGGGTTTTCGGTTGGTTCTCACGTCGATCTTGATCTTTCTTTCTTATAGCGCGTTCTTCAATAGCTGTTCTTATCTCCTGTATCTTTTCTGGGAGATCTGAGATCTGAGGGTACTCCGGCTGTAGGTTTTGGTTTTGGATTGGCTGCGTTGAATTCTGGGTTCTTTTTTCTCTAGCAGTTTGTGGAGTTGGAATCATACTTGATTGCAAGGTGAAAGTGCTTTAATGTATCGCTGTTTAATTTTCTTTTTTTTTTTAAATAATGCTCTTGTTATCCATTTTTATGATTTTGATTGCATGTTTGTCTAGGATTTCTTTAACGGAATGTTTATAGTTGGTTAATTCGGATACTTTTATAGAATGGAGCTCATCAACAAGAAATTGTTCTTGTATCTAGCAGCGCATGTATAAGTTTTCTTGACCTTTTCATAGTTTCATTTACGAAGTTTAGAAATGGTGATTTTATTGAAGTATGAATAATTCAAATTGACATCTACTTTGGACATATTTTACCCCATTCAAACTTCATTCTTTAATTATACATGTTTTGATTATTATTTGTCAAATCTTCTCTTATTATAAATGTTCTACGTAATCTCATCTTTGTTGATTGCCTTCTTTGAAAGAAGTGTACATCTTCTATGTTGGTTTGCTTTGTTAAATATGCAAGTTTGTAGAAAGATTATATTACTAAAACTGATTCCATTGCAGCTTTAATCACAGTTATATGAAAATGGCTGATATTGGATCATGCGATAAGTCAATTTTCCAAGCTGTTGAGCACAAATCATGTAAAAATAATCCTTTCCACAAACAGGCGTTCGGAGGAGAAGATCAGCTTAATTGTATCAACAAGGAAATTGTTATGATGGATTTACTTTTGGAAAAACTGGAGATTTCTGATGAAGATGATTTGGATGAGTTGCTGCTTGAAGATCGTGAAAATCTGCTTGTTAAAAAGACAAACTGCCCTTCAATCCCTAACAAAGAAACGCTGCTGTTTTCTTCTCCTAATACTACTGAGTTGAAGGACTTGAGTAAATGTGC